TTGTGTGTTTTCATTGATTATTGATAAAATAAAATATTTTTGTCACCTCTTATATTGGTGAACCAATTTATAAATAAAATGATCTTGAAAATCATGGGATTTTACTTCGTAATCTACTCTTTGTAATCAAATTAAAATAGGGACGAAGGGAGTATATGATAGAAAGTTAGAAATATGAAAATGACATCAAAATTATACTCCCTTCGTTCCTTTAAACTCTTCCCATTTTGACTTTGGGCAAAAATAAAAAAAAGTGTAATTTTGGTTGATTTTCTGTTTTTGTCTGTGATGTGATGTTTAAAAGTAAGATGTGATAGTTTGATTATTAGTAAAAAAGTATGATGTGATAGGTAGGGTGTGAAAAAATAGGGGTAAAAGTGATTTTTTAATAGAAAGTGTAAGTGTTTTAGGGAATTGAAAAAAAGAAAAAACGAAAGGGGAAATGTTTTATGGAACGGAAGGAGTACATTTTTAAATATTTCCTTTTTTTCAAGGAGAAAATGTTTTGCATGTGGGAGGGAGGGAGTATTTGGTTGGGGTAGGGTGTGGAGCTTAGGGTTTCATCAAACACCCAAATTAATTAATTAATTATTGGTAGTTCTTGAAAGTTTTAGGGGTCCCCTATACCTTCATTGTAGTGGGAAATCTATGTATCAAAGGCCCGGGAGAATCAAAGGGAATTCATTCAATTGATTGTGAGTTAATTAGATCTTTGTTTATATATATAGTACAGTAATAATGATTACTGTTCTTTATATTGGGCATGCATGATTTGTGACTCTGTGTTTATACATTTCTGCCCCTGTAAAGAAATTCATAGTTCAGTTTTATGAATAAATGTTACTCTCTCCGTTTCCATAAATACTTTCTATTATTTTGACCAAAAATAATGAAGAGTTATTTGGTATTTCAACAAAAAAAAAGGTTATTTGGAGTTGACTTTCCAATTTTGTGTTTGATATGATGGGCAAAAGTAAGATGTAATGAGTAGACTATTAGTGAAAAAATATGATGTGATAGGTTAGTGTGAAACATCATAAAAAACACAATAAAAAATTCAAGTTCTATACCGACAATAAAAACTAGATAAAATCGTAAAAAGACATACATACACAAACTACACACTAGGTAACAGTAATTTAATTGGGGTATTGTAACACAGGAAGAAGTGTTAAATTATTTGTGTGTATATATATGGTACTCTCTTCGTTCATTAATTTCTTTCTTACTTTCTTTTTTGGGCTGTCGGAATTTTTTTCGTTTCTTATTTTAGCAATTTTTTTAATCAATGTGCCACCATACTCTTATTTTTTCTACACTATTCATTTTATTCTATTACATCAAGGGCAACACATTGAAAGTCTTTACACTTTTTATTTTTTCTTAATCTTCGCATCAAGTAAAATCGGGAAAGAAATTTTTGAACGGGAAACTATAATTAAATGAAAAGGTGGATGGAATAGAGTTAGTTCTTGAGGGAATGATAGAGTAGAATGCACTCAAAGAAATGATTTTTTAACATGTTTTGTGCATCTAGCTTAGGTTGTTGGTTCCCATGTGGAAATTAAATATGGTTAAAATTTTCCAAGCACTTATTTGTTACTTCATCTGTCTCTAAAAGTCTTTCTCGTTTTGACTTTAGGAGATTCAAGGAAGGATAATTAGAGGGTATTTGGAAGTGATTAACTCGTGAATAAAGTAATTTTTACAAAAACTAAAAGCAAAAACACCCCATACTTGCTTCTCTGAAAAAGTGTTATATGTACAAAATAGTGGCAAGAGAAGCAGAAGCTAATATAAATGTCAAATATAGTAAAATCACTACCATTCAAATTAAAATAGAAGCTAAATTTTTAAAATCAATGCATTGCCAAACACTTTTTAAAATCATACTTTGACTTCCCAAAATTACTTTTGATGTGATAGCCTGATAGGTACATTAGTGGTAAATAGAAATGATGACATAAGTAGAAGTAAAGTGATCATTTAATAGAAAGTGAAAAGATATTTTGGGATGGAATTTTAGGGAGGAAGGAAGTTCTAATTTAAGAATGCTGATAGAAATATTTCATGATTATAAAATTTAAAACCACAAATTCAATTTGTATAGTACTTTATTACACCTACAATTCTACAAATGCTGAACTAAGAGAAAAGAGAACCGAAAATCAACTGGCATGAATAAAAACTTTTTTTAATCAATTTATTATATGATAATATGTGGAGGTAGTAATTGAATATGCTCATCATTTTTTACCTAACATTTTTTAATATAAGTTTTACACTTGGGATTTTATATATATTAAAGAAATAAACTCCGATCCAACTTGTGTGTGTTGAGAAGGACGTATGACTGAATATTTATTGTGTTTATTCGTACTTTTTATAAAACCTGGAAAACACATACTCCCTCCGTCTCATAAAGTGTTACTCATTTTGACTAAAATTGAAATTAAGGGAGGGATAATTTTGTGTTGACTTTCCAAAAATACCCTTGATGTGATGGGTAAAAGTAGGATGTGATGTGTAGATTATTAGAAAAAAGGTATGATGTGATAGGTAGGGTTTGAAAAAGTAAGGGGTAAAAGTGGTTTTTTAATAGAAATGGGTAGGAGATTGTGGGACACAATTTTTTTGAAAGGTGTGAATCTTTTTGGGACGGAGGGAGTATGATTTTGAGTATTGATGTTAACTTTTTCTTAATTATACATTACACTATGCAAATTATTGTTATGGCATGGGGATATACATTCATTTATTTTTTTATTTTTTTAAATAATTATTACTACCTAGTTTTCTTGTGCATGCATGTGAAAGACTCAAGAAGGTCTATGATACACCTAGCTATGGGAGGAAAACATGGGATTGATATGCTCATGAAATTTGGAAAAATGAAATCAATTTTGAAATATGAATTTTTTTTGGAAAGAATTGGAATCTGATATGCTCCTTTCGTTTCACAAAATAATTTCTCTTTTACTTTTTTATCTACCTACAAAACACTTTTTCTTCTAATTAAAAATCACTTTTATACCTACTAAATACTACTCCCTTCGTCCCAATTTAACTCGTATATTTTGGTTTATGATGTTTGACTGTAGTTATTTTGAAATTATTTTATATAAAAAACGGTGTAGAACTAAAAAAAATAAAAATTGCATATTCAAAACCTATATCAAAAGATATACTCCCTCCGTTCCACAAAATCATTCCTCTTTCGTTTTTTTGCTTTCCACAAAACACTTTCATTTTCCATTAAAAAAAACACTTTTACCCCTACTTTTTCATACCCTATCTATCACATTATACTTTTTCACTAATAACCAAACTATCACATCTTACTTTTTCCCATCACATCAGGGGCAAAATTGGAAAGTCAACTAAAATTTCACTTTCCTTATTTTTCCCCAAAGTCAAAACCGGAAGGGTTTTGTGGAACGGAGGGAGTACAAAAGTAGTAGTGATATGACTATATTATTTTATCAAATGACTAAAGAAAACAAAATGAATGAAGTTCTCTAAATAATAAACCAGACAATTTAAATTGGGACAGAAGGAGTAATTATTACCTTATCTATCGCATTATCTCTATTCAATATCAATCTATCTATCACATCTTACTTTTATTCATCACATCTAAAGGCAAAATTGGAAAGTTGGCTACAAAATACACTCTAAATTTAAATTTACCAAAAGTCAAAATAAGAACTCTTTTTTTGAAATAGAGGAAGTAACTGTCATGTAAGTACAATATGAAAAAGCAATTACTCCCTCCATCCATAATTAATTACGGAGCAACTATTATGACTTTTGAGATGCGTCAATAGTGTAATGAATATATAGATCATGATGTATGTTGATATTTATTCGATCAACTTTTGATATATCTCAGAAGTCATATAGAGAATAGAGAATTAATTGTGAATGGAGGGGATATAAGGCAAAGGGTACCCTTAGTTGAATTGCTTTCCAAAAGACAAAAGTTAAACTTGCCAAAATGGGACACGATTGATTATTAGTGACCCTTAGAGAGGGATATATATCCTTCTACTCCATTACATATATTTTATTGTTCATGAGGTATATATATAGATTAATAATGTGTTTTTGCCGGCCTCACGAATGGATTTGATTCAATGAGGTGATGAGAAAAAGTAGAAGACAAAGGAAGTGTGAGATTCACTCACTTTTGTGGGCGACCCATCATTGTGGGGAATGTTGGCCTACAAACTTGTTTTTTTTAATTAGTGCATGCCTATATATATCTTCCTATAATTATATAATTGCCTATTCAAATATACAATATTGCTCTCTAAACATTGAGACGTAAGAAACTTTAGAATCATCTCTCCATAACCTTTCCCACTTTCTTTTTTAAAAAAGTGATATTTAAAAAACTTATAACTTTGAATTTACTTTCCAATTTCGCTCTTACTCGATCTATAGTGCTGTGATGGGATAAAATTAGATGTATTGAATAAATTAATAGTGAATGGATATGGTAATAAAGGTAAATTTATAATCCCTCCGTCTCCAAATAAATTTCCCCGTTATTTCTTTTTTCCTAAATAAACTTCTCTTTTCTCTTAAAAAAACTCATTTTCCCCCCTACTTTTTCATACCCTATCTATCACATCATACCTTTTTATTAATAATCCACATATCACATCTTACTTTTATACATCACATCAAGAGTATTTTAGAAAGTCAACATAAAAATATTTCTCCTTTAAATCCTCAAAAAATCAAAAAAGGAAGTTTATTTAGGGATGAAGGAAGTATATAATAATAGGGGAAAAGGGAGATTTTAACTCAAATTAGAAGTAATTTTAGGACAAATGAAAAGTAAAAGTAGAAAGATTTTTTGGAACGGCTGGAATATAAATTACCAAAAAACAAAAAAAAATAACAAAAATAGTGAGACACACATAGATATATTATTCCAGTGTTTCAACATGTTGAAACTATAAATAAATGCAAAATAAAATACCCTTAATCCATACAATATAATTTTTAAATCAAATGAATGCTGGCATAAAGTATGTTCATTTTCATTCAGTGCTTAGTGTTGGTTTTTTTTCTTTCTTTGGAGTGACATCATGAGTGCTCCATACATTTTGGTCCCTTTTTTTAGAATAGTGCCTAGAGGTTGCTTATAATTCTTTTAGTTTAAAAATTTTAATAAAAAAAGATATATGATTGAGTGAGATGTTGCTTTGGTTTGAGGACTATATATCATATCACACATTTATGCATTCACACAACAACAACTACACACTATATATTATGCACCTAGCATTCACCATATATCTTTCTGGTGAGCATTTTTATTTTCTCTATACAATATATATATATATATATATATATATATATATATATATATATATATATATATATATATATTCAAATAATAATAAAAATAATTTGTTATAAAACATATGTATAATTAATAATATTCTTGGATATGACGGAGGGCAGTAATGGTGGTAGTGGTAGTGGTAGTAATGTTCCACCAGGGTTCAGATTCCATCCAACAGAGGAAGAACTTGTGGGGTATTACCTGAACAGAAAGGTTCATTCCTTGAAGTTTGATTTAGATGTTATTGCTGATGTTGATCTCTATAGGATTGAGCCTTGGGATATTCAAGGTATGTTTGTATATATCTATGTTTCTTTCTTTTTATATATATACTATACCTTTTATTTTCATCTCAGATCTCTTTTTTTTATTCATTTGTTATTAATTTCTTCTTTAAATTAGTAAGTGTTTGTTTTCTCATCATCTCAGCTCCTCTATTATTAATATCATAATCTCCCTCTCCCTATATAATTAAGATTCTTGTTTTGATTTAGAAAGAATTTAATTACTTTTATTTTAGTATATTGTAAAAATTATTATATAATAAAAAAATAGATACTTAAAAATCATATACATTAATGATCGACTTACATTTTACATGATAAACAATGACTATTTTATTCTATTTTATCAAGTAATCAATATAATTAAAATATGTAAAGAACGAATATATAGATCGATTATTTATGTGAATGGTGAACATAAAACGTATTTTTTGATGGAGGGATCGGAGTAAATTAAATTACAATAAGATGGAGTATGAATCAAGTTATTAGCACCAAATGGCTTTGTTTCATGATGATATATATAGTGTTAGAATTTATTTATAATTTTCTAATCGTTTTCATTAAAGGCTAAAAGTTAAAAATTATTTTTTTTTGTAAGAATGACGACCTAACTTATTAATTTGAATTAGGTGATACATACTTAATAAATTTAGCAATTAAATTGTGACACGTTGAATTTAAATTTCAGGTAAAAGAAGTAATTTTTAATAAAAGAACACTAAAATTACCAAACAAAAAATGACAATGATATGATAAAACTAAATATTACGGAGTATTAGATACCGTATCATTTTTAAAACACTAATGATAAACACAAAAAATAGGGTTTTTGTCAAAGTGGCACTAAATGATCAACACTACTTATGCTTTGGTTTTATCTTTTTGAAGAAAAAATATCTGGCCTATACATAATTAAGGAACAATATATGTTAGAGTAGTATTCAAATTCTTTTTGTGTGTCTTTTTTAAAAATAAGTTTGCACTTTTTTTGGTTGAGTTGATTTCTTGAAAATACCATCGGCCGCGGCGGCGACTCAATAATGACTAAAACATAATAACTTTCTCAAAATAGAACCATATGTTTTTATTTTTCAATGTAGGATCATTGGTCATTATCAATTAGTCATTATTCAAATAAATGTTCACCATATATAGCTGGACACTATTCCTCTCATTAGACATTATTAAGTCTTATTAGTCATACACTGGAAAATGACTTATGTTTTAGTCCTATTTAGTGTAAATTTTTCTATAATCTGAGAGCAGATAAATGCAAGTTGGGAGGACATGAGGAGCAGAAGGAGTGGTACTTCTTCAGCCACAAGGACAGGAAGTATCCGACGGGGAGCCGGACGAACCGGGCGACGGCCGCCGGATTCTGGAAGGCGACGGGGCGGGACAAGGCGGTGGTGGCGGCAAAGGAGGAGAAGATGATAGGGATGAGGAAGACATTGGTGTTTTACAAAGGTAGAGCCCCAAATGGCACCAAAACCCATTGGATCATGCATGAATATCGCCTCCAATCTTCTCCCCATGCACCTACCCAGGCATGATATTTTCTTTCTCAAATTCATCTTTTCGTTTTGATTTGTGATTTTTAATTTTAATTTTTTAAAATAAATTTTGTATGTTTATACATTACATCAACTAAATAGGTTAATTTCTACCTTTTTGTTTAATTGTTTTTAAAAATTGGTTTTTTAAAATTAAGGAGACCCCATCTTATTAGTTTAACTTTTACCTTTTTGTTTAATTGTTTTTAAAAATTGCTTTTTATTACATATAATTAATTGTTTATAAAACATAATTTTACATTGCATCCTGAAACAAGTTTCACTTTCAATAAAATTTTGAAATAAGATTCATTATTTTTGTGTCATTTCTTATTTCCTATTTTTTAAATCGGGGGCGTTGCCCCAAGATCCCATTCCATGGTGCCCCAACTATTTTAATTCTTGGATCTGCCTCTGCCTATATCTCTGTTTTTAAAAACAATAGAAATCATCCTAAATAGAACTAAAACATAGAAAAAGTATTAAAATAGGATTTTCATTTTTTTTCTCGAAATAAGACTTCGCATTGTGGTAATGTGACATTGTAGATGTGCACATTACTATACTTTTTGATAATTTTTCTGATAATGTTTGGTAATGTAAATGCATTAAAGTCCTATTTCAGGACTAAAAGCATGGAAGTCATATTTTAATATATTTTTAATGTTTTAATCTTACTTTGGTCTTTGTCCCTTAAAACAATCTCACTTTCATTTTTGGGCATCACCCGCAAAATACTTCACTCACCAAAATGTTCAAAATACCCTTCAAGCAACTTCTATCAACACAAAAAAAAAGAAATGAAATTTACTTTAGACTCTTAAATGGAGGTAAAAGTGTTTTGTAGGATGTGCACAAAGTGAGAGTGATCGAAAATTTACGTTTTAAATAACGCAGGGAATACAAAACAAGATGTGATGGAGACCATTTTATTTTGGGCTGGACGGGGTTCGGAAACAAAGTTTTGAAATAAGCATTTGATATTTTTAGATAATTTTTTAACACTATGTTTGGTTCAAGGAATTTGAAAGGAAAAGGAAATAGTTTTCCGTCATTTTCCTCACTAAAATGGGAGGAATTTGGTTTTTGCTTTCTCATTTTCTTTTCCTTCCACTTTTCTTTTCTTCTCTAACCAAACACGAAAACTGTTTTTCTTCTCATTTTCTTTTCCTCTCAAATTTCTTGAACCAAACATAGTGTAACTGTGTAAATGTACGAAATTAATTTGAAAACACTAAAGGCCAGTTTGGTACACAAAATTGACGAAACTGGAATTGGAATTATGTGGAGTTGATTTGAAAAGAATTGAATTCTCTAATTCCAATTCATTTTTGAAACTACTAATTCCAAATCCATATATTTTTGTGTCACCAAACAACAAGATTGGAATTATTGTTTCCAATTCCAATTCCATAATTTGAATTCTGTGTACCGAACATAGCCTAAATCTAAATGATTCCATTAGATAGTTGAACATGATAAGAAGTGCAAAGTTTGTCTCCTCAAACAAAGCATCTTCAATGATTTCTCTAGCTTTGTGACCCAATTTCTCAATATATTTTAACTGTTTTCTACTGTGTATTTAAACAAATTTGGAAGTTGTGCAGGAGGAAGGATGGGTGGTATGCCGTGCATTCAAGAAACCAATTCCAAATAACAATAGGCCAGTAGGAGGAGATGGATTATATGATGCAAATTGTAATAATTACTACTCCCTTAGAGACCACCACCACCACCACAACGGTTGTTCCCGGCAGCCACTGCCACCGCCGCCAGCAACCACAATTTTCTCGATGCCACACCATTTCAACCACCTCAACGACTACGATCAAATCGCCATCGGCCCCATCGTCCCCACGGCGGTCACTAGTCTCGAAGATCACCACCACCACCATCATCGTCATCAAGAGGAATTTGACAAGATGAATAGTTATGCAGATGATCATAATAATGATCCTCAGAGCCTCGCGGCGATGATGGTCCCTTCCTATTCATTTGCTAATATGCCGCCGCTGCTCATGCGACATGATGATGACCATGACCACATGAGTCATCTTTTCGGGTGCTTCCCGGATTTATAGCCCGGCCCGATGGGACCGGGACATATATATATATATATATATATATATATATATATATATATATATATATATATATATATATATATATATGTATGTATATATATATATATATACACACACACACACACACTTATATATATTGACCATAGTGATTCCAATACGAAGAGCGAAGTAACACGTCCTGTATACTTGCTGACTAATTGACATTTCTACCACGATCGGAGAGACGTTTCAACATTAGATGTTCATGAATGAGTATCAACTAGATATATGGAACTTAAAATGCTCAAATAATGGTCATTTTAGGTTTTTCGAAAAAAATATACTTATATACATATCTATATGTGTTTACAAAGGTATTCAGTATTTATTAAAGGGTTCATTCATTCATATTTAAGTGATTATCAAATGTATATTGAGGGTCATATACTCAAGAATGAGAAGGTGCATTGGCGCGGCTATCCAATTAATGTTTCTTTCCAAGAAAATGAGTTCGTTTTAATTTTAATATGTTGTGATCTGCAAAAAAAAGTGAATTTATGCATATTGTTTGAGTTTTTTTTAATTAAAGAAACTACTTGTTTAATTTATACATAGTTATATGCTTTATTTACGACAAAGAGTTTTTCATTTATAGTACATCTTTTCTGCTTTTTCTTAGGGTGTACGTTTTCGTGATCGTGTGATTCATGTCATTTTCTATTCAAAGCTAAGCTGTTGTCTCGAAAGCAAGGTTTCACATTTAAGAAGATAGGATGAATTACTGTTTTGGTTTATAAAAATGACATATATTAGGAACCATAAGATTTGTAGCACACTACTCTGGGAATCAAGTTGAAGAATCTAAAACAAAAAGGTTTTTAGAAAGAAGAAAAAAAACCGTAGTTATTGTAGAGCAGGGTCAATATCTGAAAGTGTGACAGCAGGGTAGTCTTCATATCCAGCGATACCCAATATTCTTATTCGTGTGATTGGCTGCAGATATTTGAAAGAGAAGAAAACAATAATAGACGAAAATGTACTAGTAATGCAATTTGAAAATATGTAAGTGATGGCTTTGGCATACCTGGCGATGACCTATTTTCCTTCGATAGTGCTTCTTCTTCTTATACTTGAACACAATGACCTTATCATCCAATAACTATTTGGGAAAAGAAAAAGAAAGAAAGATCATATGATGATGATGGGTTTGGGAATTCATGTCACCGTTCCTTGTTTGGATAGTCACAACAAGGCGTTGAACTTCGTTTTGTTCTTGCTTTCAATGATGTTTTGGGTATGATAAAAAAGAAAAAATTAAGAAAATAGAGAAATGGGATTGAGCTGCAGAGAAGATGAAAATGAGAGGGGGGGACGCCACACCTGGTCCTCAACCACAGCATGAACAGCTGCATTAGTTACCACTGGTTTTCCAATCCATGTGCTTGTTTTGCTTCCTACCAACAATACCTTGTTTAGAATAATCTGCAAAAAGGTTAGAGACTCTCAGCTGCAAATTCTTGTGACCCTTTTTATGACATAAAAGATCTGCAAATTCAACAACTGTAATTGTTTTTTCTGGTTGATTTTTCCCCTCATTTTTTGTGGATGGAGTGTTGCATTGGAGTAAAAAGTATTCCATGTACTATGGAAATTGGAAAGAAAAATGAAAGAGATGAGCAGATAAATGAGAGACGAACGCTTGTGAAACAAATAAAATAAAGTCTTATAAAAAACAAAAGATTCTCACTTTGTCATTCACGTTTGCGCCCTTTAGCCGCTGAGTATAGATGAACCGTCCAGGGATGACAATATATTGACGAGATCCAACCTAATCAAGGATCATATCCAAAATTGTAATTGTAGTGAGCATTCGCATACTTCTCATACTCAAAAAGGCACTTATTCCAGCAACTGAAAGTACATTGTATAAATCGCATAGATAGAGTAAACTATGCTAAAATAAATGTAGCCTTTGGAACCCAATACATCAACGACAGTAACAAACCCAACATAATCCCACAAAAATATAGTCTGAAGAGAGTGTGAATACGCATACATTACCCCTACGGCCCTACTTGACAGTATAGAGAGACTGTTTCTAAGAGACCCATGGCTCGAGAAGAATAATATGAACAAAAAACACATAGAGAACAAATTAAGGGAGAGCACACATACTAGAAACAAGACTCAAAGCACATAAGCTACAGACCAAGGCAAAAAACACACCATCATAAACTATAAACTAAGGCCTGGATGTCTAACCAGTTTCTCAAATCATAGATCTCCAAACATTTATATCTAAAGTCATATCCTTGATAAAAACCTGAAGTCATGTCATATAGCATCCTTCCAATTCTTTCTAAATCTACCTCAACCTCTACTCATGCTTACTACCGCAAGTCTCTTGCATCTCCTCACTAGGACCTCTATTTTTCATACCTTTAGTGCCCAAACCAACCCAATCTAGATTCTTGCAGCGTATCCTCCCCAAGAACCATTCCCAAGATTGGAAGCCCAATATGGTCACAAAAATCACTTATAACGGAACTACATAACCTCGACGAGTTGCACATTTCTTGATAGATTGCTTTCCATTAAGTGCTTGTTTTTATTGGGGGATTTTGGATGGTAGGAAAGGGGAGGATCAAATTTTTTTCTTTTTTCCTAAATTATCACTACTTGTTAGTCTTAAATTAGAAAATTACTACTGCACCGAGGTATATATTTCTAGCTATATTACTCTATATATTTTTTCATATGGTAAATATTCCACAGCCAAACAAGGACTAAAAGTGTGGCAGAACTCTTGAGCTAGAATCAGAGTAGAGAACAAAGCTGCAAGAGCAATTTGCTGAATGTAGATAATCCTGAACTCTAAGGATCAATTAAATCTCCAAATCTTGTTCCAAACGCACTCTAGTGGCGTATGTACTCGTTTGGCCAACCTTGAACTTCAAGGATAAAATTGAGCTCCAAATCATGCAGGGCCAAACAAGCACTAAAACAGCAAGTTCATATCAAACTTATCCTTCAAGAACATTGCAAGTATGATACCTTCAAGATTTAAACTTTGCAAAAACCCTAGGCAATAATCCCTATTCCCTAGAATAAATTCAACACAACATTTTCATCTGAGCAAAGCAAAAATCCTACCAAGAACTGCAATTAGTACTAAAAACAGACATTAACGAGAAATGTAAGGATTCGACTCACCATGACAACGGCAAACAGTTCTTCCCTCTTGGCTTCGGGAATCGGCAGTTCTGGGACTAGCGGTTCAGATTGCGGTTCGGGTTCAATAACACCAGAATCGGGCTCGGATTCGGCCAGCGAGGACTCGGGTTCAGATAATCTGGCGATAAAATGCGGGTGCAATGGGAGCGGGTTGGGGGATGAGTGGAGCCGGAGAGAAGATAGAGAGCGAGAGAGAAATGGGATGTTCGGGGCGTCTCTAGAGAGGGAAAGGTTGAGTCTTTGCTTCTGAGCTGCGCAGAGAGGTGAGAAGGAAGAAGGAGATGAACAGAGAGAAAGGCTCGCCATTGCAGAAGAAGAAGAAATAGCTTTCTGCTTCTCTCTGTGGGGTTCTTTCACTTCTTTGCACCAAACATGGACTTATCCAGTGATAATTCTGTTTCTTGAACATTCAAATGTGTGATGAAAATAGATTCTTCAAAATTTTATACTCCACTAGACTAAAATTGCTTCTTAAGACTATAAATGTCAAAAAATACTTTTTAAGATTTATAATGTCAAAATATATTACTCCTCCCATCCGAAAAAGATGGTAATATTACACAAAACGAAGTAAATTTATGAGTTTTTTTAATTTATTTTATTTAAATATTGGTATAGAAACAAAAAAATTACATATTTAAAAATTACGTCAAACGTTTTACAAAACAATATGTGACAAGAATATTACGGAGTATATTTTATGAAATAATCAATGACAACGCAAAAATGAACAAAAGTTCTCGTAATTTTTGAATAATGAAGTGTTGAATCTTTTTGGAACATGGGAGTATAAAAAGCAATCGTAAAATATTAACAATAATGACAATTTCTGAATACCAATAATTTTATTTAGAAGATAAATTTAATGAAGTTGAGAATGAATTTAAATAAAGTATGGACATTTAAATAATATTCTTTCAACTTTTAATCTTTGTGTCATTTTTGCATGAAAAATAACTTTGCAACAAAAGAGAGTAATATAGAGCACGAAGAATATATATGATGAGATACAAAATATTCTTCAATTGTCCTAATATTCTTCCATACTCTTATTGTAATCTTACACACTATGTATATTTTTTAAAAAAAAAGGTTTAAAGAAAAAAGAAAAAAGAAAAAAGTTACTTGTACAAAATAAACTTGGGCATTTGCATACATAGGGTTAGTGTGATAAATGAATGATTCATGAATCTCATTGTGTATGATGATGATGATCATTTGCTCCAAAGGCATCAGCCAAGTTGAAATTCAAGTTGCCTCTCATACTTCTAGCTGCAAGCCCTGCATTTCCTTTCCTCATCATTGTTGCAAATTCCCCATAATCGATTCTCCCATCCTATATATACATACAGACACACATACACAATTATACTCGTAATTCACTTTGAATGTTTGCGAAGTGAGTCTTTTTCTGTGTTTATAAGCTGATCAAAACTGCATATAAACTATTTTTAACTTATAAGTCAACTCATGACGTGTTTTCATCTTTATTCACTATGCTGATAAGTTAAAAACGGTTTATCAGAAATAAGTCAATAAACATCAACACAGAGAAACACCTCAAAGTCACTCTACTCTTACTTTGTAGGTATGTCTCAAGGAAACAATGGCTCTCCAATTGTTGTTTTTTGTATTTTCAGCCAAAAGTATGAAAACAATGAGGTAGAGGAGGAAGGAGGTGATTACATTGTCGATATCAATCTCTTTGATGGTCTCCTCAAGATGAACATCTCCGAGCCCGAATTCTTTGCAGGCTTGTTGGAGCTCGTCGACGGTTATATAGCCGCTGCCATCCTTGTCAAAGTAGGCGAATGCCGCCAGCAGATTCTCCTCTCTTTCCATCTTGTTCAAATGCAGTGTTGCAGCAAGAAACTCTCCATAGTCAATTGTCCCACTGTTGTCAATGTCAGCCTGATGTACATGTATAACATACTCACATCAATAAACACACACAACTTACACCTCTGGGTACATCTATTCTAAAACCAGAGTTTGACACCATGCGTTGCGTTTCACATACATGTACAGACAATGATTGAAGAATAATGCTGAAAACCCGCCACGAGTCCCGTCTTCAAATAATCACAGATAATTTTATACATACACAGACATTCGTGTCTAGAGATGATGCTAGTATATGTATAAATCATTTGTAATTGTTATCAACCGGGGCAACCGTGGAGGGTTCCAAGCATGGTCCATGCATGTCTGTGAAAGAGATGGTGTCAAACTCGGTGTGAACGAAGCGCAGTGAACGCAAACCGCTTGCATGAGAGCGCGAATGTCAGACTCCATGAGCTCGGACCCGACTCTCTTCAACCCTTGTTCCAATTCCTCGAATGTAATGCTTCCACTCCCATCTGTGTCTATCATCTTGAACAGCTGCCTCAGCCCTCCTATCTCCTCCTCAGACAGCCTCTCTGCAATCACCTGCACACATTTTTTGCACCATCATGACAATAGCATTGCATCACAAACAAAAGACGTAGCGTGTCGTCCAGAGGGCATACGCGAAGTGCCATCTTCTTGAGCTTGTTCATTGCAGAGAACTGTTTCAGTCGCGACAGAACGGCTGAACCCAATGGCCTGTCTGGTGCAACCGTGTCGTCCACAATCCACGGGTGCCCTACACGTTCAATTCACAAATGCTATGTTCATTTTCAAATAAGCCTTCTTGGGAATTGGGTTTGGATTCAAATCTCATAATTCTATCATTTCTTGGTAAGAGTGTTTAACTCACTTAAGACCTCATGAGCTGTGATCCGTTCCTTGGGATCTCTGTGAAGCATCTTTTTGATCAAATCCTTTGCGCTATCGGAAATGGATGGCCAGGGCTCAGACTCAAAGTCTATTTTGCCTCTGAGAATCTGCTTGAAGATCCCATTATCTGTTTCTGCAATGTAAAAGTTTTTCTTTCTTTTTTCAGTTTTAAATTCCAAGATTCCATTTTTAAAAAAATCAAGAAAGTGATGAAACCCTGGGGTGGGGGTTTATTTTCTTTGTCAAAAAGGGATTTTTGAGTAATTTACCTGCCCAGAAAGGAGGAACACCTGATAAGAGGATGTAGAGAATAACACCAGCACTCCATACATCAATTTCAGTTCCATAGTGTTTTTGCAACACTTCTGGTGCAACATAATATGGGCTTCCCACAACATCAGATAGATACTGCCCTGAAAAAAATAAAAATGCAAGTCCCATCAGCTAGCTCTTAGGGTAGAAGAGATAAATAAGAAGAAGAAAAAGAAGGGGAAGAAAGAAGAACAAACCGGGCTTGTAAAAAACAGAGAGGCCGAAATCGGTGGACTTAAGCTTGGCATCCTCATCAGAGCTATCGAACAAGAAATTCTCCGGCTTCAGATCCCTATGCATCACCCCCAACGAGTGGCACGCCTCAACCACCCCGGCTATCGTCTTCATCAGCTGCGCTGCCTTCCTCTCGCTATAATGCCCCTTCGCCACAATCCTGTTTGCAATATATTAACCGACTGTTCATTATGGCTTTCTTGATACATTGAAAAATGAATGAACGTAGATATAGTAACGTCTACATTCATTCATTTTCTGATGTACCAAAACGTCTTGACAGACAGTTAATACAGAACGAAGGGAATTGAAACAAAATCATATCCAATGACAACCATACATGACATACAATCACCTGTCAAAAAGCTCGCCGCCTTTGCAGAGCTCCATGACCAAGTGAACGAAAACGTTGTCCTCGTACGTCCCTTTGATTCTCACGACGTTTGGATGCTCGGACAAATGGTGCATTATCTGAATTTCCCTCCACACGTCCTCGTAGTCCTCCCTGCACAAAAGCTTTCTTTTTGGTATGGTTTTGCAGGCGTATTCCAAGCCTGTGGCTTTCTCGGTGCATTGGTATGTTGTCCCGAATTGCCCCTGGCCGAGCTTTTTCCCGAGGGTATAATGGTCCCTCAGCCTCGGAGTTTGGTATGGTAGCACATTCATTGATGGCTTTGATGATGTTTTCTTCATCTTTGTTCTTCCCCCTCCTGCAGGCATCTTTGTTTGCTTTGATGATATATGTTTTGTTGTTTTAGTTTTGTGGGAGAATTTTAGTTAATGTTTTTGGATTTTGAGATGAGAAAAATTGTTTTTCTTTGTGTGTGTTTTGGAGAGAATTTCTCCAAGCTTCAAAGTGATTTGTTGTTCTTCATATATATATGTGGAAAGAGGGACACTTGCTTGGCCAAAATGTGTGGTGATGGAGGATATATTTATGAATAAATGAGGAAATGAATAAAATATTTTTCTCAAAATATATAACATTGCCAATTTATTTTAACACATAAGATTTTAAAAAATAGAAAAAAAATTGATTTTAACTTTGAGTTGATTTATTTATTATTTATTAAATAATTTATTGAGAGTTAAAAATTGGATTGACACCTGTTACAGAAAAATAAAATAGTGAAAATTCGTCTTAGGTTATTTGAACATGTGCAAAGAAGACTAACAGATATAATTAAGAGAAACTTTCACGTCGCATAAATGATCTCCTAACTTCCATAACTCTAATATCCACATGTAAAATATAAATTATCTCACATTTGTAATAGACAAGCAAATCTATTCCTATGGCGGATGGTGGTGACGATAGAGCCGCAGGCACGGTGGTGTTGATAGTGGGCGTTGGCGGGGGGGAGGGGGGATGGCAGGGATGGTGAGGGGAAGATATGGTCACGCATGGGGATGACGACAGTGATGGGGCGGTGGTGTGGCTGACGACTGTGATGAGGGCGGCGGCGAGACTATCAATGGTGGTTTTGGGACTGGCGAAGGTGAGTGCTCGCAAGGTTGGGACTTTGGCAGTAGGGGCATTTCTGACCATTTACTTCCTTAGTCAACTCATCAAAAAATGGAAAAAAGTCAATTGAGGAAGATTAATACCGGACAAAGGGAGTACTAAAGTTCATAAAATAAGTGCAGACCCAAAGGCTATATAAATTTTTTCAAAGAAAATCATTATTGTAAAAACTAATCCCAACTCCTAACTTTAAAATCTAACAGAAAAAAGCATCAGGCTGTGAATAACGTTATTAACACTCCATGAATTAGAAAAAAAAACTTGAAGTTATTATTAAAAAAACAATTGGACAAAGAAAACTCAGGTTTAGTTATGTATATTTATATATTTTTACAAATGTAAATGGCACAGAAGAAAACAAACGGCAAACAAAATGTTATTACAAAGAAACAAATATCAAAACTGCTCAGGATACTGAGTACAGCTTGGAAAGATCCTCAGCAAAAGTCTTCCTGATGACATCTCTCTTGAGCTTGAGAGCGGCGGTGACGAGGCCGGATTCCGGCGTCCATGGCTCCGGAATAAGCTCTATCTTTGCCGGAATCTCAAACTTCTCCAAGCGTGCGCCCTTTGCAACCTACGTACAAAAAGACAGGACTAAAAAAACAATTCGGGAACACAACACGCGTGATAAAAGAACAATCTTAGGCTCGAGTTTTGCAAGGACCGTGAACCAGTCACACCAACTTTGTCACAAAATTTTGACACCATGTGTTTCACAGACAAGCATTTTACGGACGGATGTAGACAGGCAATTACTATCTAGATTGCACAGACAGTTATTATCTGTACATCTCTGTCAAGTGTCAAACTTCAACTTTGGTGTCACACTCTAGTGTTAAAATAGATTTATCGATTTTGGAGACAATTTTCTAATTAATGATGTCAAGACTTAAATATGTTTGAGCACATGCAAATAAGTAGTGTTTGTATTATGTTTCTTGTTCTATGCTTGTGTTACAAAAAAAGAACAATCTTAGTCAGGTATACATACTCCATCCGTCCTGAAATTGATTACAAAATTCCTTTTTCAAGCATTTTAAGGTAAAGTTAAAAACTTTTGAACTCCTTTCCCAAAACACCCCTTATCAATGACAACACCAAAAATATACCTTTACAAGGGAAGCATAGACCTCCTTCATCGTCTCAGCCTTCTTGCACAAGTCCGAGAAGTCGACGAATTGGATGCCGAGCTTAGCAGCCCAGTCTTCCAACGCAGACTGTGCAGCCACCACTAGAGCGACGCAGAAACTATGGAAAGGATCCGCATGCACCATTATGTTGTCAACATATTGGCAAGTTGATAGGGCCGCCTCAACCTATATATATAGTGAAAAAACATGTGTTCATTTGTAGCTCGGAAAATGATGGGTATAGTAAAAATACGAAAATATTTTACGTAAATAACAAATATCTCATGAGCAAAGTAGGGTAGGTATGATATCAAATCTGAAAGAAATGATATGAGAACTGAAATCTGAAATCTAATGTGCTCGCGAAGTAGGCCGTAAATAACAAGATAGGGTAAAAACTTTGCACCTTGCCAAGAGAAACGTACTCTCCATGCTGAAGTTTTACAATGTCCTTTTTGCGGTCAATAATTTCGAGGCAGCCATCCTCGTGAAACTGCCCTATATCACCGGTGAAAAACCACCTCATTCCTCTTTCGTCAACCTAAAAAACAGTAAGCAAAGAGCATATCCAATCATCCAACCAAATCGAAGAGTTAAAAAGACAATGCCACACGAGACAAAAAGTAGTACCTTGTAAACTTCCTTTGTTTTTTCCTCATTTTTGAAGTATCCAACGGTGACATTTGGCCCGCCTATAACAATCTCTCCTCGAGGCTTTGGTGAATCAGTTGTTAGATACCCGCCCTCAGGCCAATCTATCAACTAAAACACAACACAAGAAAGATGGATTTAATCTACCAGAATAGTGTCAGATGTAATATTAAGGATGTTTATATATCAAGAAAATTTGTAAAGAGATGAAGATGAGTAAAAGTTATTTATATTCGAATTGGGACCCCCTCTCCAGGCTTGCAGAGGACATATTTATAAAGCTCGTGAGAGCCAGCCGCCATGAGAAACTACCTCCCGGTTTCAGGGAGACATGTTTACATGGCACATGATCATGGGAGATCATGGGGAAATGTGGGACACTGGACAGGATCATGGGATGACTCCTTGTCTCTTAACCCTTACTTTCATTACCTTGATATATGAGCATGGCAATGGCGCACCGACACGACCAACTGTTGTATCATCATACTCGCTAAATGTTCCACCCGCACATGTCTCTGTGAGGCCATAACCTTGACCGATGGGAGCACTGAAATCAAGAAAATTTCAGATTTTGATCTTTAACGTAATTGCAAGACCCCATAGTTACATATTTGCATGAGTTACATACATCTATGTGTAGTGAAGGAATGTTCAATCAATTGCCCTTTGAAATTAAAACAAAAAATTAACACTTCATATTTAAATGTTTAAAGAATTTTTTATAAAACAAACTTGATTCTCAAAGTTTTATAATAGAGGGATTAAATGTAAATAATATACTTCCTTCATGCCTAAAAGAACTTGTTTTCTTTTTTCACGGAGAGAGAGAAATAATGTGAACAGCTTAAAAGAAAAGCAGGATGTTCTTTTTGGGACGGACTATTATATAATATCATCTAATATATAAGATCAAAAGAATAAAAACCCCGATCATGGAAACCCGAAATCATAATCATCTATATGATAAGTTATCTATCAACATATGGATTTAAAAAAAAGAAATTGCACTGACCTGAGACAAATGTTGGTGAATCTTTGAGTATCTCCAGAAAGAGGAGCCCCTCCTGATAATATAAAACGAATACGCCCACCTAAAACAGCCCGGACATTTCTAAACACTAAAAAGTTCCATAACATCCTCTCCAATCCCCACCCTCCAAACCAACTTCCATTGATTGCAGACAACCTACGCGCATAGGCTAAATCAAACAATGTCTTTGCTAGTCCACCTTTGGCATTTACCTGAATTTAGACTAATGGTCAGATTTCAAAACATTATAAAAGATTCTCACACAATGGATGAGCTGAATACTTTATAGAAACTTGAGAAGTAAGGCTTTGTTTGGTAGCCAGAATCAGACTTATGCTTTTCCCTTCGAAAACTTCAGCAAATTTGGCCAAATAACCCTTACCAAACGGTTTCTAAGGATGCATGCAATATATTTACCTATCTTTGAGAGTTTCATAAACATACCTTCTTTCGCACACCATCTCGAACACGATCGAGAATTGCAGGGACAGCTGCCATTAATGTCGGCCTTAACACAGAAGCATCACCTTTTGTTCCCTTCTTTATCTTGTTGGATGTATCTGTAAGTGTCAAAGGAGAACCATATCCTATAGAACCTCCGATTGCCGGTATAATAGTCTGCAATGCAATCAGTGAAAATTAGTTGAAAATTGGTCTACCTTCTAAATATTAAGAATTTCTTACGAACTGAAATCGGTTGTATGTGGGGTTTATAGACCAAATGGGATCTCTCACTTGAGAGACTACTCTTTTGGGATGAATTCTCCTGTTTGGTGTGTGTAACAGAATTGAAGTTTCATCCTAAAAAGTCAACCATATATGAGAAGTATACCAACATTCAATTCCATCCATCCGTGAAATAAGTTACCACTTTCCTTTTTGGGACATCATAAAGTTAAGTTTCCGTTTCCTTTTTTAGGAAAAGTTTTTTCTCCCCTTCTTGCATAAATCTCAACTACATCTCACATTTCTTAAACTCCATGAAATCCCAAATGGGGCATCGGCGGAGTTAGTACTAAAAGGTGGGACAGAAGAATCTAGAAGCGTGAATGCTTGATTTAAAAGGCTTTCCAAGATCAAATTGCTCATTAGAATTTAAGAAAAGTGTTGAACAGTGAAAAAGTGGGTATTTGAATTTTGTTTAGAAGAAAGAGACGAGTTTTGGGAAAGTAAAGAAGTGTGAATATTATTTTGAGTCATCCAAGATAGGAAAGTGTGAAGGTTAATTCGGGACGGACTTAATATTTTTGTATTTTCCATACATGTTATGAGATAACACTAAAAAGTGCTAGGAGGGTGACAAAATGAGGGTCTAGCATTTGGAGAGGATTAAGCAAAGTCAATTCAAGGAGGGAAAGTGTAGGTTGTCAAAGGTGGTTAGCTTCTATGTAATGTCAAGGCGTGGATTTTATGGAACATAGATTGAAATACATGGTCGTAGACGGGAATATATCATTTAACATGGTCAAAACAATGCAAACAAATTTTACCATGGTAAATGCATTTTACCTCAGCTGCTAATTCTAAAATATGAGCAAGAGGAAGGTATGCTAAGTAGACATCCTTGCTTCCAAGACCGGGAACAATGGTCATAACACCCGAAGCCGTTGCTAGAACATTCCTGTGTGTCATCATCACACCCTACAAGGAACAAAGTCTCGTTAGCTAAATAAAAGGTAGAGCTAAATAAATAAATTTGAAACAAAACTAATGAAGAAATCATTCATTCATAAATCATAACCGTACATTATAGAAAAGAATTTAGCCAAAAGAAGGAAAAAGTATGAGCTTAAAAAAGAAAGTTAAAAGAAGAAAAACTGAGGGAATCATGCATTCATACCCATACATTAATGCTGAGTAGAAGCTTAATAAAAAACAACTTTTTGGTGTTTTTTTCTTTCCCTGCCATTTTTTGTGTTCCATAACATAACCAAAAAGTTCTACGTTTCATAAGTCATACAAGTGGATTGACCTTGGCAACCTTACCTTAGGCAAACCAGTACTTCCACTGGTATACATAATCACAGCAATGTCAGAAGCAAGAGGTAACTCTGGTTCAACTGGGTTTTCCCTTCCAAGCTTCTCAACTTCGGAAAAGGACGATACCATCCAGCTTGAAAACTTGGTAGCAATTGATTCATTCAAAGAACTCTCATTTCCCATAACTATTATGCGCTTTACGGTGTCAAGTGGCCCGCCAATGTCAACAAGCTTCTTCAGTTCTTTTTTACCACAAATCACAGTTGTAACCTCAGTCTAAAAAAAGAGTTAGAGAATGAAAAATTAACTGGAGAACAACAGGTTTGAAATTGAAATAATAATGACTTTTTCTAAATGGCAGATAAACATCATGGATGGATAAGAAACAGAGAAAACCATTTAACCCGTCAAAGTCACTTTGGAACCTGGAAAGTGGTAGACTGGTAGAGAAAGAACATGGGATGAAAAATATATATGGAAATTGGAAAAGAAGAAAATTTGGGTAAAAACATAGATAAATTAAAGCTAGATGACTTTCTTTTTATATTTGATCAAATTCATTTTGATTATTTTACTATATAAAGACTACGAAATCTAACTATATGCAAAATGTATTAATTTATTAGACATACGTCATTTCCTTTGATTTTCCTAGCACTATGTTTGGTTCAAGGAATTTGAAAGAGAAAAAGAAAATAAAATGAGATAGAAAACAATTTTTCTTGTTTGGTCAAAGAGGAAAAGAAAAGAAAAGAAAAGTGAAAGGAAAAGAAAATAAGAAGGCAAAATGTACTAAGAGAATGAAGAAACAAAATTCCTCTCATTTGGGTGAGGAAAATGAGAAAACATTTTCTTTTCCTTCCAAATTCATTGAACCAAACATAGTGTAGGCGATAGTGTGTGAAACCAGAAATAACTAAATAAGAAAATGGCTTTCCTTGACATTTTCCCCTCTCCACGGTATTTTCATGGTCCAAACATACCCTTAAAGGCCAAACTAAGACAACTAGATTTTGTCAAACATCAACCGAACTAGTTTCCACCGTTGGCTTAATGATACCAAGTGAGCCCTATATTGCAAGTTGATACCTAATTTGCCAATTTCACGTGAAATATGTAAGGAAATTGCACATATATGGCATAAAAGAAGAAAACAGGCATCCTTAAATGAGACAATTGCTAGATCGCACGATATTCTTACGTACACTGTATCTAAATCTAGTAGGGATAGTAAATTAATAAAAAAGACCAGAGGCAAAGATACCTCATTTAAAGAATAGCAGAGAGCCTCTTCCCCCAGAGATGCATAAATAGTTACCACAGTCACATTGCGCCTAAAGCAAGCCTGATGCGTTGACCAAATTTGTCACCCCATGAAAATGTCACACCACCAAAATTACGGGACGGATTTTGTAACTCCCGCATATAAGTATTTATAGACTAGATTTCAAAATGGACAATATTGTGTTCCCTACAAAAAACAAGAAGAATGTTACCTGCAGTGCAATTAACCATTCCCCACATGTATCTGCGAAGATGGCCAAACGTTCTTCACTTCCATGCCCGATATGTGCTAATCCAGAGGAGAAGTTGCAAACAAACTCAAAAGTCTGGCTGTAAGTCAACCACTCGTAATCCCCCAAATGAAGCTTCTCAAATGACCTTCCGTCCGATGATGTCTCACTTTCTTTGGACACAACTCTTCGAGTCCCCAGCAGTTTCTTATCATAGTATTTTTTGCAAGAACGTTCAAAAAGCTCGGCAAGAGTTGTCACTCCTTCCCATGATGTTTCCACGAGGGAAGTAAACCGGTGGTTCCTGACAGTGAAACCCGTGTCTCCTCCCACATCAACAAGGAGCCCGCGTTTTTTCTTCCGGTTGTTTGAATTCCGAAGAAGAAGACTTGTGACTGCAAGAGGGACAAGGAGGCCAACTATATAGGGTCCCATTTAGCTTTTCCCCTACAAATCAAAAGCAGACAATGTAATGTGTCTCAAATTGGATGTACATATGCCCATAAAACAACCATGTTATTATGCAAAGTGTAGATTAACCTTATAAAACATGTGATCAACCAATATTTAGTTGTATATAAACACTATGCTCACTTCAACCAACACTAAATCTTCAATAAATAATGGCATGAAGATAAATAAAGTGAAAATTGTGTCATTGATATTTATGCGCAAGAGATATAAACATTATGGGCCACATAACATTTTCTATCAATGGAAATATGAACTGGGACGGACGGAAAAAAGGAAAAAAGACATGAAAAAATATTGGGACAAATGTGAGTGTTTGAGAGTGATTATCAAACATTGATAAATTAGTAGTAAAACCCATTTTAAAAAATAAATTTATGAATGTATTTTGTAAAACAAATTTTACAAAACTATCTACTATTTTATCATCAACTTATCTTAGAATTCATGGATGGTCAAAATTCATGAAATTTGAATCCAGAAAATCAAAATTGGACAAGTGCATTGGTAAGAATGGAGCATTGATTTAAGTAAGAATTTTAAACAAAAATGTATGTGCATAATTGAACTGATACAATTAAAAACCAAAACCTGGGGAGAAATCGGGCGGGAGAAAGTATGACACAGCCGCCGGACACGAGCAGAAAATAATTGATACGAGGTCGGATGCGTAGGACACGGCCGGTGTCTCCGGCAGGGACGGGAGGGAGAGCCGTGGCAGATTTTTGGGGCTAGATGCAGAGCATAGGGAGGAAGAGGTGGGGGGGTAGTATAAGAAGAGCTTGAGACTCGATAGTAACGAGGGAGTGTCGGGGAAACCGAAGTTCGTTAGTTTAGTCCCAAGTGTTCACGTAACTTTGTCCCACCTCAAAATTAACAAATATCTCTTTGGTAATAATTTAGAGATTAGCGTTAACTTTTTGGATAAAATTTTAATGGTGTATATTACTTTGAAAACGTTAACGCTAAACGCTGCCCGTAGATAGCCTTTTTAAAACGTTAACGCTAATCGCTAATTTTTTCCCCAAACAGACCCAAAGTGATAGATGGTGGATATTTAGATGGTGTTTGGCACTGTGTTAGAGAATAAGTTATGAGCTTCAACTTCGTCCAAATGTAATTTTGTGCATTTGACAATTTTAGTCTGCTTTTGGTGCATGACTTCTGAGTGCAAAATGAGCATCAAAGGTCCTTTTTTAGCAAAGTTATGGTTAACTCTTTTTGGTTTCTCTGTTATGACTTCTGCTTTTCAAGTAATCCACCATAGTGTCAAACACTATCTTCTTCTTTTTCCGTCTGAACTCAATCTTTTTATTTGACTTTTTTATTTTAAGAAAGATTGATAATGAAGTGGATGTCTTCAAAATACTCTCCTTAAAAATGTGAAAGTAGGTGAGTCGTTAAATTTTTTAGTAAAGATGAGAGTAGAAAACAGATAAATGAAAAGATTAAATCTGAACAGAAAGAATAGCATAGAGTTATTGTAGTTTTGAAAGTAGATTTAACTTATGACTCAATCTATCTTCTTTCATTAACTATCTAGCCCATCTTGAAAAGAAGACTTATCTTTCATATATGTTTCAAAAAAGGTTTATTCTTACCAAATAAACCAAAGGTATTTTAGAATTAATTTTTTGTCTCAAAATTAGAAATCAATTATCATTTGTTGCTTTTAGCTTCTTTTTCGTGTGCTGTGTTTTTCGTGCTTGTAGTGTTATTTATGTTACTCAAGTTGGGGTCTCTTGAAACGTCTTATCTACTTTCAAGTAGGGTAAGGTATGCGTACAAATACATTCCTCATGTCAGTCTTACTCTCGTGGAATTCAACTGAAGTAGTGTTGTAGAAATTACCAAACTTATATTACTTGTCCAATCAAACTTAGGATATGTCGCGAATGGGCCTCCTAAAAACGATGTTTAGGTAATTTTGGATAAAAATGTCTTCTAATATTTATCAGATCCAAAATGTTTTTAGAACCACTTCTTATAACCTTATAACTGCCATTGATCAATCATTCTTAATATAATTTCAATTATGAAAATTTACTTAATTAAGACATTTATTTAGTTCTCTTGCATTTTTTAATATTTAAACTCATTAATCATCGAAACAAATGGAAAATAATTGAAAACACACCCCTTACATAACCTTGTCATAATTGGAAAAGTAATCTGAACCTCTTGTGACCTAACAACACATTAGCTTTAGTTACATGGTACAAGTTCTTAATTATTCGTAATTAGGATACCACTATATCATGATACCACAAACACATCACAAAGTCTCTATTATACATTTTATCGTCAACAATAAATGCAACATTAAGACTATTTTATTACTTAATATTTTTTTGATAGATAGATGATGGCGAGTGTTGAGTCCAAAATATTCACTAATTATTCTCTATTAAATCAGTATTTTTGGGCATTAAAAAGTACATTTTTACACTTAAATGATCATATTTGCATTCTAGGCATTGTTTATAAAATATGTTCATAATGCACACTTTTCAGTTTATTTTTGAATATTATTGTTGTGGACCCATATTCTCCTTGACAAAGGTTATTAGATATATCTTTGGAGCATAAAAACGACTTGAAGATATCAAGTGATGCTGATGGGCTTCCGAGAAAAAAAAAGCTGAAGACAAATAAAAGAAAGGGGAAATATAATGTTTGGGCTAGTCTCTGACTTGAAGGCCTTATCCAAAAGCTTTTTTTCTTCTTCTTCCTCAAAGACCCCCAATTGATAAACACTGGAAAAATAACCGTACAAAGAAGCGAGAAAAGTCGTGTGAGATAGAAGTGCCGAAGACCCCCTCTCCTACTGCAATTCGGCCTCTTCA